CCTGGAGTCCATACCTAGTTAAACACAAGACAAAGTTAGAGAAGATTCAGCGGTATGCCACAAGGCTCGTCCCGGAACTGAGAGATATGAGCTACGAGGAAAGGCTAAAGGAGCTGAACCTCACATCCCTGGAAAACAGAAGAGTAAGGGTAGACATGAAAACCCACCTACAAAATTCTCAGGGGAATTGACAGGGTGGACAAAGACAAACTCTTCAGCACGGGTGGGACACGAACAAGGGGACACAGGTGAAAACTTAGTACCCAGATGAGCCACAGAGACGCTAGAAAGAATTTTTTCAGTGTCAGAGTAGTTAATAAATGGAATGCACTAGGCAGTGATGTGGTGGAGGCTGACTCCATACACAGTTTCAAATGTAGATATGATAGAGCCCAGTAGGCTCAGGAATCTGTACACCAGTTGATTGACAGTTGAGAGGCGGGACCAAAGAGATAAAGCTCAATCCCCGCAAGCACAAATAGGTGAGTACACACCCACCCACACACACACACACACACACACACAAACACACACACACACACAAACACACACACACACACACACACACACACACACACACACACACACACACACACACACACACACACAGGTGGAAACTGAGTACCCACATGAGCCACTGGGACGTTATAAATAATTTTTTCAGTGTCAAAGTAGTTAACAGATGGAATGCATTAGGCAGTGATGTGGTGGAGGCTGACTCCATACACAGTTTCAAATGTAGATATGATAGAGCCCAGTAGGCTCAGGAATCTGTACACCAGTTGATTGACGGTTGAGAGGCGGGACAAAAGAGCCAGAGCTCAACCCCCGCAAGCACAATTAGGTGAGTACAATTAGGTGAGTACACACACACACGCAACCTAGACCCAACCAAAGCTGCTCCACAGCCATATCAGGAGGAAAACAGCGGTGAAGAAGAGGTGTGTGAAGAACTCAATAAGAGATTCCAGGAGGTCTTCACAATAGAACAAGGAGATTTAGCCCCTGCGCTAAATGAGGAGGAGGCAAACCAAGCAATCTTGGAGGATTTTGACCTCACAAGTGATGAGATCAAAAGGAATCTGTTGGAGCTGAATGTGACAAAGGTTGTTGGTCCTGACGGAATCTCACGTGGATACTAAAAGAAGGTGCAGAAGCCCTAAGCGTGCCACTCTCTATGGTGTATAACAGGTCACTGGAAACAGGAGACCTTCCGGAAAGCTGGAAGACAGCTAATGTAGACCCAATGTACAAAACGGGTGACAGGCAAGAGGCGCTGAACTACAGGCCAGTTTTCCCTAACTTGTATACCATGCAAGATCATGGAAAAGATCGTGAGAAAAAGGCTCGTAGAGCATCTGGAGGGAAATAGCTTTGTAACACACCACCAGCATGGGTTCAGAGATGGTAAATCATGCCTCAAAGGGTAAATAGAGTTCTATGACCAAGCAACAAAAATTAGGCAAGAAAGAGATGGGTAGACACACTGCATTTTCTTGGATTGTCAGAAAGCTTTTGACACAGTACCCCATAAAAGGCTGTTACGAATGCTGGAGCAACAGGCAGGAGTGAAAGGTAAGGTGCTCCAGTGGATAAGGGGGTATCTAAGCAACAGGAAACACCAAGTAACTGTGGCGGGGGAGACATCAGAGTGGCTAGATGTCACCAGTGGAGTCCCACAGGGATCCCTCCTGTTTCTAATATATGTAAACGATCTTCCAGAGGGTATAGACTCATTCCTCTCAATGTTTGATGATGATGCAAAATTTATGAGACGAATCAAGACAGATGATGATAGAGACTACAGGACGACATGATGGCAAAATCTTACTGAAGCGACCATTCGAGTCATAAATACTCATACTCCGCCCAAGTAAAACAGAAACAAGCAACACTTAGTGGGCCAGCCAGAGGCTTAGGGCCCGCGCAGGAATATCCCTGCAAAAAAAAAAAGGACGACATGGACAGGCTGGAGGAATGGTCTGGAAAATGGCTACTAAAGTTCAACTAAGGAAAGTGCAAAGTAATAAATTAGGTGAAGGGAGCAGGAGGCTGAACACAAGGTACCATCTGGGAGGTGAAATCCTGCAAGAGTGAAATAGAGAGAAAGATCTGGGGGTTGATATCACACCGAACCTGTCTCCAGAGGTCCACATCAAAAGGATATCATCAGCGGCATATGCTAGACTGGCCAACATAAGAACTGCCTTTAGAAACTTGTGTAAGGAATCGTTCAGGACCTTGTATACCACTTATGTCAGACCAATCCTGGAATATGCAGCTCCAGCCTGGAGTCCATACCTAGTTAAACACAAGACAAAGTTAGAGAAGATTCAGCGGTATGCCACAAGGCTCGTCCCGGAACTGAGAGATATGAGCTACGAGGAAAGGCTAAAGGAGCTGAACCTCACATCCCTGGAAAACAGAAGAGTAAGGGTAGACATGAAAACCCACCTACAAAATTCTCAGGGGAATTGACAGGGTGGACAAAGACAAACTC